CCTCCCCAACATTGACCCCTCCCCCGACATTGACCCCTCCCCTGACATTGACCTTGGAGAGAAGTTTCTTAGTGTGCAGAAGCTCAACATGGGGAAGGGACTGAGAAGACTTAGGGAGTGTTGACAGCAGAGCTCAGAGCAAGGCCAGGGAAGGGTGGTCGTGTTCAGCAGCAGCCGGAGCTGCTGCCTTCACGGAGGGCACGTGGCAGAGGAGGGCAGCCCAGCCTGCGCCCCGTCCCGGCAGAGGACGGTCCTGCAGCCCCATGAGCGGCGGGGACGGTCGCAGAAATGAGGTGATCGTTGCAGGAGCAGGTTCTGAAAACGAGAAGAAAGCCGGCTCCATAGGGTTAATGCTGAGACGCGAACGTTTAAGAGAATTGGCATTAATCACGGGAAATTTTATGTTCTTTTTATATTTCTCTCTTTTCCCCAGATTGCCTTTCAGCGCACGCCTACGAGGTCACGCGGGTCCATCACAGTGACGGGGTCGGAGGGCGCATGTACCCTTCGGGAGACTGTGGGGACCGCAGTGCAGTCTGGTCATTTCCACATCACTTTCTAGACTTAATGGGTCATCACGATGGGAGGAATGTGAGCTGACACTGCATTTTCACTGGATAATGGTAATTTTTCAGTAATTGCTCTCTCTCTTTAATGGGATGAATTTCTCAGCATTATTTCTTCTTTTTATTGAATTTACTGGGGTGACATTGGTTAATAAAATTCTCAGCATTATTTCTGCCTAGAATTTCTACACGAGGCCAACATGCAGAAAAATAGATTAACTGATGGTTGTAAAGGTTTCTACTTTACATAAGATTAAATAATATCTGCATTTCAGATTTGCTGAAGGAATAGTGATTTGCTAATAGGGGTCGTTTTGAGGGGTAGCTTACAAGCATTCTTGTCTGTATCTCTCCTGAGCTGCCCACCAGCACGGTCACGAGGCTTCCACGTCCTCGCCGCTCCGCCACAGCCACCTCCCTTCCCAGCCGTGGTGAGTAGGGTCTGAATCCTGGGCCCGCCTGGCCCCTGCCTGACCCTCTGGGCCCACCCTGTCCACCTCCTGCTGGAAACTGGTCTCACTCCTCTAATAATCTGATGATGGTGATTGGATCTGATAATCTGATCCTGGCAATTAGAAGTTAACTATTAAAAGAATAAGAGTTGGGCCCCAGCTGGTTTCACTCAGTGGTTAGAGTATCAGCCTGTGGACTAAAGGGTCCCGGGTTCAATGCACATACCTCAGTTTCAGCCTTGACCCCTGGCCCTAGTTGGGGTGCACGTGGGAGGCAACCAATTGCTGTCTTTCTCGCTCCCTGTCCCTCTTCCACTCCCTGAAAAGCGATGGAAAATATATCCTCCACTGATGATTAAAAAAAGAAGTAAGTAAGTGAGTAAGAGTAGGAGTTGGCGCACAGTTTGGGAAGGAGATGTGACCGTACGTGTGGAAATGTCAAGGATTCGCAGTCAGCAGCAGCAATCTCCCCAGACTGATGTGGCCACAGTGAGGGCTGCAGGGCTCGCACTTAACACACACAAGTCATCATTTTCCCACACACCCGCCGTGGCCACGGAAATCTGACATTAAACACAGTGCCGTGGACAGAAGCACAAAAAAGGAGAAACACAGGCATACGACTAAAATATATGCAAATAAATATGAGGAAAACCGCCCAACTCATGAAAAGGTCAGAGATCTAAACGAGTGGAGCGATCGTCCACCCTCACGGTGAGGAGACAGTGCTGCCCCGATGTCAGCTCTGGGCCGGCAGAGTCAGTGCAGCCCATCGAACCCAAGGCAGCTGGTGTGTGGCTGTCGGCGAAACGGGCCTGACGTGCAAGGTGCCTGCATGGCCAGCGCAGTCCTGAAGGGGCGGAACAGGGCGGGAGGCTGGCCCCGGAGGCCCTGGCTTGTGATGAAGCCGCAGTGACGCAGCCTGGTGGTGGTGGTGGTGTAATGGACAGAGCAGAGAGCCAGAAATGGACCCGCACAAGTACAGAAAACCGACAGAGGGCAAGGGCAGGTCAACGGAGGAAGGACAGTTTCTCCAGCAAGGGGAGCGGGGTGGCCGGACCGCCTCACACAGCAATAAGCGTAGACACAGACCTCGCACCCTCACAGAGCTCGGGCGAAGGGGGCCACAGACCTAAATGCAAACGCAGAACTGAATCTGCTAGACTAGGGCACAGGAGGAGCCTAGATGGCCTCGGGTTAGGAGGCGACTTTAGATACAACATCAAGAGGGTGATTCACGAAAGAAAACTCAGCAAGTTGGGCTTCATTAGAATTAAAAAGTCTGATCTGTGGGAAACACCATCAAGAGGAAGGGGACGGGTTGAGCGGGCGCCCAGGCTGGCGGGGGCACCACGCCCGCAGCTCAGAAGGGTTTCCTAGCCCAGCAAACAGAGCTTGGTTGCCGTGTCACCTGCCTTCCGAGCGAGTGTCCTTTGCTCTTGAGCTCAGACAAGTGCCAGTCTTCCTGTGGCGCTGAGACTCACGTTCCAGAAGGGCAGAAAAATAACCAGGAAAACCTTACATTTCAGCAGCGTACGGGCCCTGAATAGAGGGATCACAGCGTCCTTGTCAAACGCTTTCCTTGCTGAAAAGAGCTCCGACTGCGCGTCCCATTCAGCCTGACACGTGGCCCACAGCACATTCGTGTGAAACAGCCTCAGCCGGGGCAGGTGGGGATTACGTAACAATGCCCGCGATGCAATGACAGGCCGCTAATTTCCTGCAAGCAGAGTTTCTTATTCTGGAAGATCTTCTTATTGGCCTCCGAGGGAGGAAAGGGGCGTCGGGGTCCTGGAAACGGAGCACAGTGTTCTGAGTCTCAAATCTGCACATGTGACGACAGGAGCCTGCTGTCTTCAAAAAGTCTCCTGTGCTCATGCTCACGGTTTATCGCAGAGTCTCAGGATCCTGAAGCTTCTTGCACATTTCCACGGCAGGGAAGTATTTTGAATACGAATTATAGTCAGACTAGTTTGCGACTATGCAGTGTGACGTTCCTGTTGCTTGGCAGTCGGCCCTGGTCGGCCTCACGCAGTTGGCGGTCGCTTTGCGGTTCATTGGGAGGATTCGGCTCAAGGTGAGCCGTGGCCACGCCTCCCATCACGTGGCTGCCGTTATTGGGCAGACGCCCCATGGAGCCTCTTCTCTCCTGGTTCCAGGTTTACGGCTGGGCCAGCGCGTGCTGCTCAGCGGCCGTCGGGACAGATACCACATCCATTGGCGCCCCTCCTCTCAGACCCTCTCGGTGGCGTGGATTTTCCTAAGTATCCAGGTTGGGGTGCTCTTCCTCACCCTGAGAACACCCGTAAACTCTGTTTCTGGTTCCTCCTCTTTCTGACACCAGATCTGGGGGGTTGGACTCAAGCTTGTCCACAGGGACCTTCACACCATCACTGCTCATGCAGACGCCCCTCTCCTCCACCCTCCGAGCTGTTGTTCCTCCAAGACTAGATTTAATTTCTGCTTCATTCAGTCCCTTCTGACTAGTTTAACCCTAACCGACTCCCTTCCCTGCTACAGAATGTACGTTCGGGACCTCAGAGAAAGAGTGTTACTCCTCGGCCGTGTCATGTCTTGGCTTCTGCATTAAATGCCCACGTTTCTCCCACTGACGTGTTAAGGGGAGGGCTGAGCATCGCCCATTGAGACTGGAGAAGACCTTTGAGACCATTCTCAGCAAGACCACAATGTCCAAAACTGACCACAGTGTCCGAAACTGGCTTCGTGACCCCAGGGAGCCTGTAGGAGCCTCCTGGCAGCACCTGAGGCCTCTCCCTGCCCCTCCGAGAGCCCCGGGGGTGGCGGGGCGACTCTCTCCGGGGTCCGCAGGCACCTGCCTAAGGCCTGTGGTCTCCATGTTCTGATCACGGCAGAAAATGCTTTCAAGCGCCTCTCCCCAGCACCGCATCCTGAGCGGTGAGCAACGTCAGGCACACGCGCTGTTCTCAGCCGGTCCCCATCCTACTCAAGGACTCCCCGGGTGTCGGGGAGGAGGGAGCCGGAAGGCTGGCGCTCGCTCATGCGTTTGAAGCAGGCGCCCTCGCTGAACCTCAGGACTGTGGCGAGGAGACGGAGCTAACAAAGTGCCATCGGAGTCTGTCCAGCGTTTGACAAACTGGACGGACACTTCGCTCCTGCTGGACCCACTGGCCCAGGAGATCATGCACCTGCGAGGAGCCACCCAAGTGCCTTCGTGTTCCCGTGAGCATAAGGGTGGTGTTTTTAAAACCAGGTCCTTAGAACAGCTGAGGGAGCACAGCGAGGGCGGTGGGTCCGGACCCTGCAGAGTGGCGTCTGCAGACTCCCTGCAGCACCTCAGGAGCACGGGCTCTTGGCAGGTAGCGGAAACGGCGCCTTAATCACAGCTTATTTCTGTCCACACCCCAAAGCTGAGCATTCAGTGCAAGATACAGATAATGTGTTCAGACTGAGGGGAGAGTGTTTCAAAATGCAAATGCGAGCACGTGACTCCGACGCCCAAGGAGAAGAACAGCGGGGCCCCCCTTGGCCGCAGCACCTTCAGAAGTCGGTTCGGTCGGCAGCCTTTGACTCCGCCTGAGGCCACACATTTCACTGCTTCCTCACAGCCCTCTGGTGGCTGCCGGGCTGTGATAGGGGTGTAACTCGCTGCTCTGGGGGGTTCTGTTTAGATAAAATAGTGACTCCTGTCCAGCAGCTTCCAGACCACCCCTCCTTCAGAGTCGCACAGAACTTGTCGGGAAGCGTGGGGTGTCTGGGGAGGAGGGGAGAGGGGAGAGGGGAGCGCGACCCTGATGAGGAACCTGCCCCGGGGAGTGTCCTCACCGTCCTCCTGGGGGGACAGACGGACGGCAGCTGGGGTCCAGGGGACTAGTGTTAACCTCTCGGACTGATCGAGACAACACGGGGCTTTTCCCCTGAAGACTCTCAGCCGTTGACAACTTTCGTGTCTCACTCATTCGTCACGACTTTGCACCATCCGCCCTCGTCCCTGTCACCACCCAGCAGGCTCGGGCTCCAGGGCCTCTGGGGAGGAAGCCGTGGGCCCCCCGAGCCCCGGGAGAGCGAGGCCCAGGCCGGGGGCCACAGGCAGCGCTTCAGGTGCTGTGGGGCTTCGTGTGTGTCACACGGATGCTTGAAGTTCATCGCCAGGGGATTTTCAGTGATGGGATGTTTTAAGTTGGCTTTGAAGAAAAAAGGGCTTCTTAAAGGCAAAGAAATAGGGAAAAAGGGTTTTCTAAGGGTGATGAACGTAGGAAAACAAACATGGATGTTTATAGGACGTTCTCTTTCCTTTGGTTCCCAGCCAGCGGCTTCCATGGCAACATGGGCTCCTTAGCCCAAACCTCCTGCCAGAACTGTCTTCTCTGGGCGGCTGCCATGGCCTCCTTCCTGTTCCTCAGACACACAGCG